AGATTAATGATTGATGTGGAAAGTCCCAGCCCACTGTGGCACCTGGTTTTGGTATTTGTCCTGGGTTGTATTTCAGAAGAGGTTGGGCAATCCACAGAGAGAAAACCAGTATGCATCTTTGTCTCCTTTATAGTCTTTGCTTCAGTGCCTGCCTCCAAGTTCCTGCCTTGAGTTCCTACCCTGACTTCCCTCAACGATGGATTTGATGTGGAAAGGTAAGACAAATTATTTCATCTTTAGATTGCTGTTTGGGATTTATTCCAGTAACTGTAAGCAAGATAGGGCAGAAATTTGGTGCAAGGTTTGTAGATAACACTATGACAGTTCTGCCCATGTTGTTTGGGGAAAGACTATAGAAAGACTTTGGAAGCCATTTGATGATTTGAGCTTAATGAGTTGTTTTAGAAATACTTGAAAGATGAGACTGTTGAGAGAAATGCAGATGATGGAGGCCTGGCTTGTAAAGTTTCAGAAGGATTTTATTGAATACTTTTTCAGCATCTAATGAGGTCATCATTTTTTCCCTGTTTATTTATATGGTGGATTACCTTGATAGATTTTTGTATGTTGAACCATTTATGTATCTCCAGGATAAAGCCAACTTGAGCATGGTATATGATATTTTGATGAGTTCTGGAATTTGAATTGCAAGTATTTTACTGAGTACTTTTGCATCAAATGTTCATGAGGGAGACTGCTCTATGATTCTTTTTCTTAGTTGAGTCTTTGTGTGGTTTGGGTAGAAGACTGCAAATAGATTCATATTTATCCCCATGAACAAAACTCAAGTCCAATTGGATCAAAGACCTCAATATATATCCAGCCACACTGAACCTCACAGAAGCAAAAGTGGGAAACAGCCTTGAATGCATGGGCACAGGAGACCATTTCCTAAATATAGCACTGGTAGCACAGACACTGTGAGCAACAGTAAATAAATGGGACCTTCTGAAACTGAGGGACTTTTGGAAGGCAAAAGACACACTCAATAAGACAAAACAGCAGCCTACTAAATGGGAAAAGATTTTCACCACCTGGAACGGGACTGATATCCAAAATACATACAGAACTCAAGAAACTAGACATCAAAATACCAAATAATCAAATCAAAAAATGGAGTACAAATCTAACCAATGAATTCTCAACAGAAGAATCTCAAATAGCCAAAAGACACTTAATGTGCTCAACATCCTTAGTCTTCAGGGAAATGCAAATCCAATGGGTTCAGAGATCCAGAATTATCTCACAAATTAAAATGACTAAGATCAAGAACACCAATGATAGCTTATGCTGGAGAGAATGCTAAGAAAGAGGAATACTCCTTCATTGCTGGCGGTTTCTCAGATAATTGGGAATTGACCTACCTCAAGACCTAGCAATACCCCTCTTGGTCATATACCCAAAGGATGTTCAATCATACTAAAAGAACATTTGCTCGATTGTGTTCATAGAAGCATTATTTGTAATAACCAGAACCTGGAAACAATCTAGACACCCCTCAATCAAAGAATGGATAAAGAAAATGTGGTACATTTACATAATGGATACTACTCAGTGGTTAAAAAAATCAATGAGGTCTTGAAATTTGTATGCAAGTGGATGGAATTAGGAAAAAAACATCCTCAGTGAGGAAATTCAGACTCAGAAAGATGAACACGGTATGTACACACTCATAAGTGGATATTAGATAGCTGTAAAGTAAAGGATAGCCAGCCTATAGTCCATGAACCCAGAGAAGCAAGATAACAAGGAGAACCTTAAGAGAAAGACATGGATCCCCCTGGGAAGAGGAAATAGACAATATGCCCTGAGAAAATTGGGAGCATGGGGGTTGGGGATTGGGGGAGAAGAAAGGACAGAAGGGGCAGAGGAAGGGAGAAGAGGAGGAGGAGGAGAACATGAGGGAATGGGATGGTCAAGATGGGGGAAGGGAAGAGAGGTAGAGTAAGGAAAGAGCTATCTTGATTGAGGGAGCCATTATGGGGCTCGCAAGATACTTGGCACCAGGAAACTTCTCAGGAATCCAAAAGGATGACCCCACCTAAGACCTTAAGCAATAGGAGAAAAGGTGCCTGAACTGGCGCTCAACCTACAATCATATTGATGACTACTTTAAGTGTTATTATAGAACCTTCATCCTCAAATGACTGAAGCAGATGTAGACATCCACAGTGAAGCACTGGGTTGAGCTCCCAAAGTCCAGTCAAAAAGAGGAAGAAGAGATAATATAAGCAAAGAGGTCAAGACCATGATAGGAAACACCCATTGAAACAGCTTACCTGAGTTAATGGGTTCTCACTGACTCAGGACTCACAGTGGGGGAACCAGCAAAGGACCAATCTAGGAACTCTAGATGTGGGTGACAGTTGCCTGGGACAGTCTGTGGGGCCACTGGCAGTGGGACCAGGATTTATCCCTACTACTTGAACTGTTTTTTTGGAGTCCATTCTCTTTGGAGCTATAGCTTGCTCAACCTAGATGTAGTGGGGAGGGCCTTGATCCTGCCTCAAAGCAATGTGGTAGACTTTTTTGCCTCCCCTTGGGAGACCTTACCCTCTCTGAGGAGTGGATGGGGGGCATGGTGGGGGAAAAGTGGAGGGAGCAAGAGGAGGGGAGGAAGTGGGAATGGTATGTAAAATTTCAATTAAATAATGATAATAATAATAATAAATTCAAATACTATAAAATTCTAGTCTCTAAAATATTCTATCTTTAAAATTGCCTCAATTGTGGTATCCTGCAAAATAAAAAAATGAATTATATACTTTGCATTTTAATCAGGAAGATCCAGAGCACAATTACCATCAAATAAAAGCAAAACAATCATCTAGCAATTTTATACAAGCTTTGGGGCTTTAAAAGGGTTGAACAGCTCTACTTCTCTGGCTCTGGCTTTAATGGCACACATAGTTTGTATCATAGGATCAGGCTGTCTCTACTCTACATCTGATGCTGTCTTTAGTGGCCATCCTGTAGTTTGGTATCATTAATATTCTGGGGTCTCCATAAGCTGTACCTTCACCAATGTCCTCCTGGCCACTCCCTCATCAGAGATTCTGGCCTGCCACATACTTCCAAGCCTCCATTCCCTTCCATGAGCAAATTAACTTGTGTTTCCATTGCAAATAGGGCTATACATTTACCAATGACCTCTTTTGTTCTCTCATAGTGTCATGCATCAGCCTTTCTCTATGATCTCTTCATTCCTGAAGTCTCCATGGCAACTATAGCTGTACCTTCACCAGTGGCCTCTATGGCTACCAAGTCTCAGCTCTGCTCCATGATTTCCCTTCAGTCAGGCAGCTCCCAAGTTATCAAAACCAGTAAAACAATGGAGACCCTTACACATTACCAAGCTCACCTGCCAGCATAAGATGCAATCTTGGGTCCATCTGAAACATAAGTCTGTGTGCTGATCTTGAGGAAATACTCCAGATTTTATCTCAATGTTTCTTGTCTCTTCTTAATCTTCTTAATCTAATTTCTCAGTCTCATCTAACTAGTTTCCAGTGTCCCAGTAAAGCAAATAATTCACAACAGTAATCCTAATTTTTTAAACATTACTGATTTTTCAGTCCTACCTGAGCAGAACCACCGGTTCTCATCCAAAGTATCACACAAATAGTATTATAGAGTCTTTGGGGGACTCACAAACTTCCTTCTGAAATTTCAAAAGCCAGGCTTCCATCATTTTCATTGCTCTCAGCATTATCTTCTAAGTTCCTATAGCAGTCTATTAAGTTCTCAGTGGCCCAAATTTCTAAACACTTCTGCAGTCATGCCCCAAATAACATGGCAAAGTCTTCAAAGTAATATCTTGTTATCACTGTACTGGTTTTTGGTTTAGCTAAGTTTCTATTACCATGAAATAACACCATGATCAAAAGCAACTTGGGGAGGACTGAATTTATTTTAGTTTACAGTTTATAGTTCATCTTGAAGAGAACTCAGGGCAGGAACTCAAGACAGGGACTGAAGTAGAAGCCATGGAGGTACCTTATTTATTTGTTTGCTCTTTATAGCTTGTTTGGTTTACTTTCTTATACAACTAAGGACAACCTGCAAAGGGTGGCACCCTGTGTGGTAGGCTGAGTTCTCTCTCATCAATCATTCATCAAGAAAATATCCCACAGATTTTCTCACAGCCCAATCTGATAACAGATATTTTCTCCAATTTCTGTTCCCCTTTTCAAGATAATCCTAGGTTGTGTTAAGCAGACAAGAGAGAGAGAGAGAGAGAGAGAGAGAGAGAGAGAGAGAGAGAGAAGAAAAGAAGAAAATAGCATAGGGTGGCTATTTTAAGAAAAGGCAATGGGATTTGGGGTATCTGTTAGATGTTCTTAGATATTCTTAATGAAGTAATATGCAAAAGCACTTTGGATGTATTCTGGAAGAGCTGATTCAGATAAAGAATCATGCCACTTAAGAGGAAAAAACAACACCCTCCTTACAGTGTCTATAGTGAATAAGGAGGAATTCTAGAGAGAACACCCCCAGACTTTTAAAGTTATTACCAGATAAGAAAAGATTTTTACTTTATTTATTTTTGGGGGTGGGCAGGGAGAGAAAAATCAATAATATCCATTGAATCTGTCACTATAATTTCAGTTACCAAACAAATCCACTTCCCATGTCCCCACTTGAGATTATATACCACATCTTAAATACACCATACTACCAACCCTTATAGTGCAGAGGCAAGCATTTGTGGTTAATGAATATTTAACCATACAATTTCAAAGCTCCTGTTCCAACAAGAAATATGAGAGCAAACAGGGTAGAAAGAAGAAGAGGCACTGCAGACAGCTGAACTGATGACGGCGGGGGAAGCCAAGGTTAGAGATAAAAAGAGATTCCCAGCTCTTAAACAGAAAGGAGCTGCCATCCACCCATGTATCTTTCAATCTATCCTTTTCTCCAGAGACAATTCACTTTGCTAGCAAACAAAATTTATTTTTGAATATTTTGTAGCAGAAGAAAGAAAGTAGCTTGACACTTACATTTCATTTGCTTGAAGATGGACTTGTTAGGTTCTAACCAGTGCTGGGGAGAAAGCAGAAACAAAACAGAGATTGTTGGTGAGAATGAAAACGCCTGAAAAGAAACTGAAACCGGGTGGATAGATTGGAATGTTACGTGTCCAGGCTAGCTGTTGCACATGGGGCTAGTTCTAGACTTCCAGAACAGCCGGTCCTTGCCCACTACTGTAACTAAATTAAGATTTTTTTTTGAGCAATACATAAAATAGAAAGCTTTTAGAATCAAGTAACGTAGCAGACAACTAGGTTTCACCAATCCAGAAGCTAAGAATGGTATCAGATAGCATCTTGGGCCTATAAAAAAGCTTCCCTTAACTTGCTATACCTGCCTCTCAGTTGTACCCATGAATGGATTTTTGAAGAGTCAATGAATTAAAAACCTCAGGCTAACTGAGACACTCTGGGCAGGAATGCTGACTTAACTGATATCATCTTTGGAAGTTTCTGTTGAGGAGATCAGCAGTCCAATTCCCCAACCCCAAGCTGGTATCTTCAACTCTGAGACTGCAGGGGAACCGAGCAACAGAAGGAATCTTCCATACCAAAACTTCCCCTATCAGGATGAACTTAGTTTGACCCAGAAATGTTAGACTTCACTCCTCAAACCCTGGCCCCGAACAATCTAATTGCTAGGATAATACTGGAACTCCTCAGTATTCTCAGAAAAACCAAAAACAGCCCACAGTCAACACCTGCAAGTTCCATACTTTCAACTCCCTGAGATAAGCCCGCTCCAGAGGTACTTGCGGCCCGATCTCTGTTCAGCAGAGCGGTTGTTAAGGACAGACGGCTTCTGTTGACGGGGTAGTTGTGTTCTCATTTCTTTTCCAGATTCCATTCCATTCTACCATTTTGGAAAACAGTGAGGAATTTCGGGGGGTTCCTTCTCCAGTTGATTACTTTTATACTATTTTCCCTCTCTCTCTTTCCTTTTCTCCTGTCTCTCCCTTTTATTATACACCTTGAGAGGTCCTCAGCACTCCAAACTCACTACCAGCTAGAATGCCTATGGAATGACCTATTTAGCCGCTGCCCAGGTGAACAAATCTCAATGATGCAACATTTTCCTCTGTCTGGGAGTTTATTGATTCAAGTGCTAACCTCGGTGTCTCCTTTCCTTTTTTTTCACTACTGATTTAATTCTGTAGCCCCTCTGTTGTACAGAGTAGCTTTTTGTCATTCAACTGTACCACATCCAACATTCACACATCTAAGTAAGGTTCAGATTCAGTCTAAGGGTGCTCTGTGCAGATGCCATCACCTAAGCCTATGTGGTCATCCAGTTTTGCTTTCCAGGTCACTAGAATTTTGAATTCCAGGGATCCTTCAAGCTTCTTGCCTTTGGTTTTGCTAAGAGGTGACTAGAATTGGGAATGCTCATTCCAATCCCTCGTTTCTCATTTACAGCCACTTATTACGAGAAAGAAGCCTCAAATTTATCCTGCCCAAAGTAGGGTACAAGATCACCTTTATTCTCACATGCTTTGGCTTCCCTGAAAACAAACTTCAAGGTGTTTGTATACCTGTCTGCTGAGGTCTGTCCTCACTGCAACTTGGATAACATTTTTGACTTTCAGAGTCTCACTGGCTCAAGCCACTCACATTCCAAAATGACAGAAGATATTTTTTTTTGTCTTCATTCTGGCCCTTTGCTTTATTTCTCCATTTCTGCATTCTTACTAGCTTAAACTTCTAAACAAAATTCGCTAATCTCTCTCAGATGCTCACCTGGCTAATGAGCCCCTTCCTATCAAAGTAGAGCAGCCACTACTGTCGAATTGTCATGCGCTGATTAAACTGAGAATCTGTCTCTGGAATGTGGGATTTGGCCCTCCTACTTCAGACTCAAGAATGTGTTTTTATTAGAGTGTTTTCCAAACGTCTGTCCTAGGTCAGGCTGACCCCCTGTCCCTGTGACAGGGAAAAGGAGAACAAAACAGCCCAAGAAATAAACCTTCACAGATCCCGATAGGGACATGTCAGTGCCAGTGAAGAGCCACTGTAGTAGACTTTGCTGGGTGGTAATGTCATCAGCTGCTTTAGTATTGGCCCTCTCTGAGGTACTCTAATTGTTGCCCTTTCTACATGACCCCTTTTGTCAGTTAAGAGAGATCTGTGCCCCCAAACCTCTAAAAGTGTATCTTATATCTTCAGTAAAGGAAACTAATGTACTCTCCAATTCACCCACTCGTCTTGTCACTCTGGGTATTGTTTTCAATACTTAGAATTCAGGACTGAAACAGCTGCCCTGAAGCCTCCTCTGTGTCAGCCTCTCTGGTGCACCAGCTCTTAGAGAACTTTAAAAAAGGTTCAGATCAGTTAATATCTTTCAGGATCAAGTCAATTCTTTGGCTGCTACAGTACTCCAAAAATTAAAGAGAATTAGATATGACTAGAAAAAAAATCTTTCTGGATACTTGGATCATCCAGGGACCCAACAGCTATGATATTGATAATTTCAGTATTTGATCCTACCTTCTCAGTTTCTTCACCAAGTTCCTCCAACAAAGATTACATGCTTTTATCGCCCAGAGAGTCAACGAGTTCTTCAGGCCAGAAGGATATCAACTACTATCTAACACAGTGACCAATTCTATGGATCACTTCAAAGGCTCCACCTCTGAACTCTTGATCATTGCCCCAACTCCCCTAAACAGAAAAAAACCTATCTAGAAATGAAGACCAGCCTACAAAATTCTTTACCTTTAACATTCTTAAGTCCAATTATATATTCCCTCAGGATTGGGATATGGTGGGATAATCACAGTTTGACCCAGAAATATTCAACTCTGCTTCCTCAACAATGATCAGTGAAATTCCATTTGCTCATAGCCTACTGCCACTCTGCGCCTATAGTCTCAGAAAAACTGCAGAACAGAGCAGAACGTTCCTGAAACTCCAGAAACTTCCCTATCCCATCTCTCTGACTTTCTCCTGCCCCCCTCCCCCAAAGCTATACTTCCAAACTGTAACCTTCAGCAAGGCTGATTAGGGGATTTTAACTTTTATGATTAGGGAGAGTTAGGAATGTTACAGGTCCAGAGGCTAGTTGAAATTTACTGAAGGCCATCTTTAGCCTTCTAATCGGTCATTTCATTTCCATTTATTTATTGGATCTAACATCCTGTGACTGATAGGTAAAAAACCTTATGAAAGCTTTAGGTTAGCAAAACCCTACTGTCCACCAGTGAAGGGACGAAGAATGCTGTCAGGCAGCACCTAAGGGGTGCAGCAGTTCTTCTCTGTTTTGCTGTAAGCCAACCTCTCTGATGTTTCATCAATGTATTGCAAAGTGTTTTGACTTACGACTTTCTTTGTTTGTTATTATAAGTACTTAATGAAATTGCTTTGTTGTTGGGATACAGGATTTGAGTAAACCTGAGTTTTTCGGTCTTGGTCATTCATATTTGGTTCCAAAACAAAGTGTCTCTTATCCCCTTTGTGGTGAGAGTTGTGTTTCTGTGTCAACAACATTATGAATTCAGGGAAGTCTATTTTATGTGCACCTGCCTGCTCCATACTAGAAAAAAAAAAGAACAGAGTTTTTTTTTTTTTACTTCACTCTAACTTCTTTTTTTTTTTTTGAAGTGCATCTTGTATTTGTGCATTTTCCATCTTGTATTCTTGCTGAAGTCATTTCTGCCATTCTCTTGAAGAATCTGGTGGAAAACTACCTAACTCTACTTTAGGAACCCCAAGGTCAAGAAGTCCCTGCTACCTTAACTTAGCTCTATTTAACCACTTGCTTGTGTAAACCTCCCCCTTCAGCTATTTGTTTTGCTTAGTTTCTGTTAAATTGCTTGATTGTTTAAAAACTTCTCCTCTATCTGCTAGGCAACACACCAGGATATGAATTTTGCCTTTAAAAGCCCCTTTCTCTAAATACTTAGGTCTACATCTGGGCCGTGAATACCTGAACATGGTTGCAGTTGGCTGGAATAAAGACTTTAATTGGCTATACACTCTGACTGAGATTTCATTTCTATAGGGCTCCCCATTGCTTTCTTGGTCTTCCTGTAAAACTCAAGACACTGCATTACACTTATTGTTTAATGTAAATTCATGCTCATAAAATGAAACAAAAGCGATCACTCATTTATTGCTCACTGACTACGAGATGCCCTTCAAAATTTTCTTGCTGTGGGATAATGCTCTTGTATCCTATAAAGATTTTTTGCTCTTATTTGTTTAATAAAATGCTAATTTGTCAGTAGTCAGGCAGTAAGTATAGGCAGGGTGCCTGGGCCAGGATGATTTCTGAAGGCTCAGTCTGCAGTCACCAGCCAGGTGTACAGGAAGCAAGATGAGAATGTCTCACTGAGTAAGTTACCAACCAAGCCACGTGGTTAAACATAGGTAAGAATTCTAGGATAATTTAAGTTATAGGAGCTAATTAATAAAAGCCTGAGCTAATAGGCCAACCAGTTTATAATTTTTTTTTTTTTCCAAAAAAGAACTCTGAATCTAAGTCCTAATTTCTAGAGCTGAAATTTCAATCCCTCCTCTGGCCCGGGCTAGAGTCTAAAAGGCCTAAAGTGGATGACTCTTTTGTAAATTCATGCTCCAAAAGTTAGGCACCAAATGAAGGATGATTAATAAAAACTCAGAGAAAGAAATTGGAGTTCAACCTGAGGGTCAGAAAAGCAAAACAGCCAGCCACTGGCTTTTACAAATACCTCAGTCTAAAATGGTGATCCTGCCTCCAGGAACCTCAGAACGAGTAATGAATGAGAGCTGTCTCCTTCTGTTTTATAATCTTCCCTAGTTCTGAGATTAAGAGTGTGCACAACTACCACCTGGTTTCTATGGGAGACTAGTGTGGCTACGAGGATTAAAGGTGTGTGTCATGGTGGCCTTGGCTGTAAGGCTGGCCAGTCTGGTTGTTAAACCTTTTTGATCCTCAGGCAAGCTTTCTTTATCAAAATATAAATGAACTGGCACTAAAGCTTCTCCTTAAACAGGGTAGTTTATGTAATTCTTACAACTGCTCATGTGCTGAACAAA